GCTGCTTTCACACCTTTGGAAATGGGGCACAGCAATAGAAAATTTATGACTAAATATCATTTGTAGTCAAGAAGAATAATTATTTTGGCAACACAGAACTTGCTCAGCCTGAGTCCGATGATATATTTTTGTGACAACATCATGTACTACAAAAATAGCAAAAAGAATTCTCATGAAATAGGACTCATTGTGTCATGTCTATTATAATTTTATTGGGTAATTTGCTACCCTGGATTATAAAGAAGAGCATTTATTGGGTTTACTTTATGAACCATTTGTTAAAAAAGAGCCTAATGAATGTTTCGTTTCAGTGTTGACATAGACTTTCCCTCCAGAAGAACATAAATGCGAATGAGGCAACAGACTTCCAGTTTTCACAGCAGAGAGAAAGGGAGACAGAGAAGTTTGCTGGGGCCAAAGTCTCTTCAGTTTTCTTCACAGGCACTATAGAAAATACACAAGTATAGAATATACATTTCCTTCCACTGTTTCGTTCCCTTCTAAAGAGAGAGCAAAACATGATGGCGAGTTGTCATGGTGTGGGACCTTCGTCAACGGCCCCTGGGAGCTTCCCTGCCATATGGAAGACTGACTGTGCTGCAATCTGCCCAGGCTATGGATAAGCACTCACACGAAGATCCTGATGCAAATGGGAAAAAGTACACACAGATAAAAATCTAAAAATACTGGGGCCTGCTAAGCCATGGTTGATCTAATTAAGATGTGAGTGCCCTTACATGTGGCCCACAACTGGTAATAAACACAGCTCACAAAGATGAGTTCTTATCTCAGGAATGGCTTATTTTAGGCAATTCTGCCCATTATGAAACAAGGAATCTGATATTACTTTGTGAATTTAAAATACTGTATACAGAATACAGATGAATAAAGGAGAATCAAATATTTTAAATGTAGATGATCTTTTCAATCTATATTTTTGGCTCATGAGCTCTTAGCAGCTTAGTGAAGTAACTAAGCATGAACTCTGCTCCAGCTTCGCCTTCAGCCTCCGCACTCACAAGCTGTGCAACACCGGGCAGGTCACGTAACCTCTGTCCTTCGGCTCCTTCCTCTGTAATGTGGGCACATCATAGCACCTATTTCATACAGCTCTTTTTAAAAGATTTAGAGTGATGCTTGGGGCATAGGAATTTCTACAAATGTTTGTATAATAAAATACATATGCCTGAGTGGGATCTCTTTTTATTACATTCCTTCTGTATCTCAGAGCACTTTTCAAACATTTAAATTCAGCACATGTTTGTTGAGGATTCACCTGAGCCAGCAATGGTGGCAGGTACTGGGTAAGAATTTCTACGTTCTATATCCTTCGAGTGCTGTTGAGCTAATGGTCTTTTTTTTTCAATTTAAAATTTTAAAAATAATTTGAAATAATGTAAACTTATAAAAGAGTGGCAAATGCAAGTAAAATAGCATTGTTTCCTGACTCATGTGGCAATAAAATAGCACAGAATCACCCAGGTCAGAGGGTCTTTCCGAGGAATGAGGATATTCTCTTCACAACCCAATGCAACACAACACGACTACCCAAATCAGGAAGGCGATGGTCATGTGACACTGTCTGGGAGCCATGCAAATCTCACCACCTGCCTGGTGACTTTTGTAAGCAAAAAGACCCAGGCTGAAATACCATGTAGGATTTCATTGCCACATCTCTTTGGTCTCCTGGACTTCATGACCTTGGTGCTTTTAAAGATTACCGGCAAGTTATCTTGTCGAATGTCCCTGAAGTTGGATTTGTGTGATAGTCCTTGGTGACTAGATTGAGTCTCCCTGGCAAGAAAAACTGGAAGGGATTCTGTATTCTGTTCATTGTGCCTTACCACGCAGCACAGGTTGCAGCTTCTGCCATCCTGGTGATAGCACTCGGGTCACCTAATAAGGATCTTGTCTGTCTGCCTTCCTTTCTCTGGGTGGCTGAGGCTGGAGGATCAAAAGTTTAAGCCCAGCATGGGCAATTTGGTGACTTAGTAAGACACTCTCTCAAAATTTTTTTTAAAATGTAAATATATTTTCTTTTTTGGTGTAATTTAGCAGCATCTTGTGGAACTATTCTGTTTCATCAAGTTTGGTTTGCTTTTTATTTCAGAAAGGATTCACATTTTCCTATTTTACTCAATGGCCTATAGTCTGTTTCTATTATAATTTTTTGATGTTCATATTGTCTCTGATTTGGCCAGGCAGTCCAGTCAAAGATGACTTCCGTGTCCTTCCTGACCTATCTTTCTTACTTTTGAGCTCTTCCTTGTTTGGGGACAAACAAGTTCTTCATTGGTAGCTTGCCCTGTTCCTGCTTTGGGATCCACTGTTTGGATCTGGGCCTGGTTTCCTCAGTGGTGGACAGTACCTGGAGGCACATGGATGCCCATTGCCACTCTGCTGCCATTGTCCCAGGCCCTAGAGGTGGACACTGCTATAATTATTGCAAATTGTTTCTTCACATTAGCATCTAATCCCAACCCATCAACGCTCAGGGTTCGGTTTAGTTTCCTCCCTTTCTGTCATTCTTAAACTATTTGCTCACCCAGTGGGTTTTCTGGGGTGAAGCCACCTGCCCTCTTGCTGTTCCACCCCTTGCAGACTCCCTTCTCTGGCTGCTTGGGCTCTGGTCCCCCAATCACAGCTTCTGTTGGCTTTATTTGGACTCTGACCTCTCACACCTGCCTGTCTCTAAGACCTCCATGTGGGTAGTCTCCTTATGGAGTGCAGGGTCCAAATGCCCCAATCCCTTGCCACCCAGCTACATGGACACCTTTTCACTCTGCTCAGGCAGCCTGTCCTTTTCAATATGACTCAGAGCAGGCTTTAAAAGACTCCTCTTTGGATATAAAAAGCCAATTTTAAAAGAACAAGCTCTGAAAACTAAACAAAACAAAAAGTTCGAAAACAAAATAAAGACACACATTTTAATAGGTCAGAGTTGGTAGGTAACAGGGTGCATACCTGTAATCCCAGCCCTCTGGAGGAGAAGGCAGGTGGATGACTGTAAATTAGAGACCAGCTGGGACTACCTAGTGAATTCTTTTTTTTTTTTTACATCAGTGTCTTTATTGATAACTAGGTCATGATTTGAGAAATAAGTTAGGGTTAAATAAGTAGTGCAACGATTTGGAGGAATAAAAACTCCAGCCCAGCCACCCACAGTCCCACCGGCCTATAGCTGCTGAGCTCTGAGCACAATAACTATGAGCTCTTGACCAGTGGCCTGGGGTTCTTGGGGCCCCCAGCCTTCCTGGCTAGAGACGGAGTCCTGGTCCTGGGGGCCCCAGCCTTGGAAGCAGTGGTGGCTTTGGGGGCAGCAGTGGCTTTGGGTCCAGGCCCTGGGGCAGCCTTCACTGCGGGTTTTGTACCCTTCAGGGAGGCAGCACATTTTCCAGCCTTGGAGGCTGCAGTTGAAGTTTTCCCAGAGGTTCCTGTGTCTTCTTGCCTGCTCCTGCTGCCTGGGACCTTGGGCTTCCTGCCAAGCTTGTGGACAGCTGAGGAAGCCCCAGCTGACTTTGGGGGGTCCTTCTTGGCTACAACCTGCTGTGGCCCAGTGCCTTTCGCCTTGCAGCCTCCCTGAGGGGCTGTCTCTAGGGCTTTGGCTTATTTGCGGGGAGCTCTTGCTTCACATGGTTCTGCAATCTTTTTCTTGCTGGAGCCAGCAGGCCCTGTCCGAGTACTTTTCCTGCTGCATCTGCAGCTTCTTCTGACGCTTGGGGACAAGCTTGAAGCTGCCATTGGCACCCCTGGCCTTGGAGTTGATGGGCCTGGCAAGGAGGCCACGGCACATGCCTGTGGCAAGGGCCTGCTTCAGTAGGTACTTGAAGCGGGTGACATCGACTGTGGGGTTACTTGTGCAGGATGTAGAGCTTGATGGCTGCCACTGAGGTGCCCTGGCGCTGCTCCTCTGCCTGTAGGGCCTCCAGCACCATGCACAGCACTGTGGGGTGGCGACGGGTCACCATGACCTTGTTTGAGGTCGGGCCTGGCTTTCCATACTCAGGGGGCTCTGCTGGCCCTGCTGTGGAAGAGGAGGAAGAGGAGGAAGAAGAGTAATTGGTGATGCTCCCAGGAGCCATCTGGAGGACACTTATAAATGATCACCTCCGCTGTTCACCTACCTAGTGAATTCAAGGCCAGCCTGAACTACAAAATGAGACCCTGTTTTCAAATAACAACAACAAAATGTGGATCAGAGTACTAAACTGAAATTTGTCTAATCCTCCCTTTTCCACGTTTACCCTTTAAAACCAGGGAGAATCAGCCTCTGGGGCGTCCACATGAGCTGTAGGCCCCAGCAGAGACGGCTCCACCTCGAAGGAGGTGACTCACGGCAAGATCCCTACGGACAGCTTCTTTTCTGCCCTTATTTTCTGATTTCTGATCTTGGCTCCTGAGCCAGATGTCCTGATTAAGGAATAAATGAAGGCTGGGGACGCGGTCCAGGGTTCAGAGAGAGGCAACCGAGAGAAGATGCTTCTGGTAGACCAGGTGTCTTCCGAAAAAAGAAATGTAATCCAATTGTAGGTTAAGTGAATTTCCTCTGGACCCAGGACAACAGGAAATGTCATCTGTCAGGAAAGACAGAGTGGAAGACTTCATTTTCGAGTTACCACGGTTCCTCCGCCAGAGGAACTGCTCACTTCAAAGGCGCAGAGGAGGGGCTGCTTCCAGGGAGGGTGGCAGCCGGGAAGAGCGCAGGGGCGCCGGGGCTCTGCTCGCTGCCTCCCTGGTGGCCGGCTGGGGAATTAGGGCTTTTCCTGGGCCCTTCCTGCGGGGCTGAAGGAAGCCGGACCCCAGCAGATTCTCCCTGTATCCCCCTTTCACATGTGGGTACCCCAGGCCAGAAGGCAAGGGAAGCACCCCGCCCTCGCGCCCACTCCCCTCCGACCCTCAGGCCCCAAGTATTTGAATCCTAATTAAAGAAGAAACGAATTCCCTACTTCATCCTCTCCCCACCCTTATCCGTACCGGGAGCGCCCAGCATTCTGCGTGGAATCAGGGAAATGTGCTTTTGTGAAGGGCTGATTTTTACTGAGCACGACTCAAGCTGCACCTTGTGCTTTTTTTAAAGGATAATCACTTCAACGTGATTAATGATGCCTAAAGCCACCCGTCTCAGTTCCTGCGGTGAAACGCGGAACTTTCGTGCGCGCCTGGGTCGGGGGGAGGCTGAGCCGCACGCCCGCCGGGGGAGGGCGGGGCCGGCCTGCACACACAGTCGGGTCTTTGTTCCGGGAGGGGCTGCAGATCGGAACCGCGTCTCCGGCTGGGTGGGCAGCACTGCTCCGGTTACGGAAGGGAACTGAAATCGGTACCTCGCAAGGTGCCAGAACAAGTTTGTGGCTGGCATAGCAGGTGAGCCTGATCCCGTGTGTGTGTGTGTGTGTGTGTGTGTGTGTGTGTGTGTGTGTGTGTGAAGAACAATGTGGAGGATCTTTGAAAAGTGGCTGGGTGACTGAAAAACCTGCGGAGGAATAGGTAACTGCAAGGACCACCGCCCTGCTGGGATGCAGCCCCCGGACTTCCAGGCTGGGCTGCGGGGGAAGGGGCTTCCCCGGGAGTGTCCACCTCTCCCGGGAGCGCGCTGGGACCGTCCCGGTGCTCTGGCCTTCCCGGCAGCAGCCTCCTCTGCAGGGCTCCTCACCTCCCTCCGCTGCTCACGCAGGGAGGTTTGCAGCTGTGGCACAGGACGTTTCTGTGAATCTTATTTGGAAACAAGTTTGGATTGTTCTTGTTTTATCAAGACTAAGCACAGAATACTGTTGACAGATTGTCTCCCAAGGTTTTGGAAATCTCATGCTTTGTCATGTAAATATCCTTCCTTCTCTTCCCCACCCCATGCTTCAGAGCTGTTCTTTGCCTTTATGTTCTGAGAAGGGTATTAAAATTTTCTTTTTTGCAAATTGCAACAAACTTAGGATCCCTGATGCCTCCCGCCCGTAAGATGCTTTTGGGAGAAGCCAAGCTTTCTCTTCAACAGGTAGACTGCACGGGACACAAGACTGGTTTACAAAAGACAAGGAAAGGAAGGGAGAAGGATGGTAGTAGGGCTCTCAGTGCTAAGGACTGAGCCAGCCAGTGGGTGTGTAAGTGAGTGCACACAGACATGTGCAAGCTGTGTCAATTCTGAACAAATTAATCCCGATAGGGATCAGATTCGTTGGGCACCATCATACTATCAACCTAGAGGGGTTGATGAAGATCAACAAGATCCTACAAAGTAGTATGAAAGCACCAACTATTCTGGCCTCTTGGAAAAGTCAGTTGTGAGAAAAGGCAAACAAGTGAACTGCCCAAACTAAAAAGCTTGTACTGGCTGGAGCTGAGCATAGGTTACATTGTATAGGTCACACTCTCAGTTTACCTCTGAGAGAGATGCAACTGTATACAGTTCTCAGAGAGAATTGAGTTAGCATAAACTGCATTAGACAGGGTAAGTAATTTTGGGCAGACTGCCCAAAGGTTAGAGCCAGGACACTGATTTGTGTGTTAGCAGGCAAGAGCACCTGCCTGAAAATCTGGGAATACAGGTTTCTTCCCACAATGCCTTCTCCATTTTCGTTGGTATATCTGTCGGTTTATTTAGGAGCATGTGTGCTGACAATTTGCTTCTGACTGCAAAATATGGTCTTGGTGGGAAAGAAAATGATTAATTGCCTGCTTTCCAGCGTGTGTATGTATGTGTGTCTGTATGTGTATGCCTGTTTGATGACAGTTACTTTTAGCGTGCATGTGTCTACATAGCTATAGCCAAAAGAAAACAAGTGATCAGTAAAACATTGGAAGGTGTGAATAAATAAAAAGTCTCTTGAACTTGTCTGGATATTTGTGCTTTCCTGGTGGACACAGGAACTAAGGAAATCTTATTTTTCACTGAATGCATTATTTTCAGATAGAAAATAGGGGCTACTTTGAAGCAGAAAGAATTCCTTTTGATCAAGTGTTGAATAGTATGGTGAAGCATCACTTCTTCAAGCAAAACAAAACAGTGCTGTGTAAAAACATTAAGTAGGTCTAACCTACAACAAACAGTTTCAGATATTTGATTTTCCTCCTTTTTTTTTTGGTACTGGGGATCAATGCATGAATATCATCAAACTCCTGACCCCATGTTTGCCTTGCAGGCACTTAAGCCACGGAGCTAAACCCCCAGCCCAGACATTTGATTTTCAAAGTGGTAGTAAACTCTTCATTAATGTGGTAAGAAAAGTGAAATCACTTGGGCCCGTATAAAAATCCAGACTAGAGGATACCATTTCCAAAAATGTAGGCCATTTACAGTTATGAATTCTGTATTTTCAGACATAAAGATACTGACATAAGGCAAAATCAACCTTGCACACATCACCTTAGTTCACCACGGACCTGCTTCCCCTAGCAGGCTTGCATCTTCCAGTTCACTTAAGTCCCCAGCCCAGGAGGCTCTGGAGAGTGGCTGGAGCTGACTCCTTTGTCCAGAGGACAGTGAAGAGCCAGGAAAGGAGAATGCTACAGAGGCAAAGAGGGTGAGCTGGAAGCCTAAGGAGGAAGGGAGGCCAACATGGAACTGAAAAATAAAACAGGAGAAGGCACTAGACAAAGAAAGCAGGAATGGAAAAGCCACCTGATGCCTCGGAGGTCCAGAGAATGGGAGATGAGCAGCAGCCAGTAGCCTAAGAGATTAGGAAATCATCTCATACCACCTCATATCACTAACCCTAGGTTGGATCCAGGGTAGGTTGTTAATAGAAATCAGCTTGCACAGAGGTGAGCACTGGGTTATGAGAAGCTGAGTGACAAAGAGAAGCAAGGGTCATGATTGGGTAGCATTTCCAGAAAGCAGCATGGTGAAAGATTGTTTTTCTTTCTTTCTTTTTTTATGAGAATGACTTAAAGATTCAATCACTCAACAAACATTTATTGCTGTCTCCTAAGGAGAAAGGATTGTATTGAGTTCTGGGGATCTAGAGATAAAAGGAGCTATCTCTGCTCTTAAAGAACTTTCAGTCTGGGAACTTTCTGTGGGAGGTGAGAGGGTAGCAGACAGGTTACTGTGTGTTCTTCCTCCGGGAGAGGAAAGCCTGGGGTTCTGATCGTGCAGGGCAAGGAGTGTCAGCCTTTGCTGGGGACCATTGGTCTGACGGACAAGAGTCAAACAGAACTGGGCTTTGATGGCTGAGTAGTTCTCCAAGCAAATCATGTTGGAATAATTCTTCCAGGTGGAGGAAATTGTGAATGGAGGGAATCTCCGTGAGCTGGAGAGCCCAGTGGGTGTGGTGTTGTGACAGGAGGCGGTTTCTCACTTATATTCTGCACTGAAGAATTTGGTGGTCAGCATGGTAGCAGGTCAAGGGGAATGGCCAGTGGAGCAAAGACGGCCTACCTGAACAGGAAGGATGGTGACTGGGGGCAGGACACCGCAGAGAAGCTGAGGAAGAGGAAGGTCAAGGTTGTTGGTGAGGGATGGCTTTGGTTTCCCCCTTGGGGAGCAGGCTGAGACCATCTGGCTGAGGAGGAGAGGATGGGAGGGGGTGGGACCTGGAAGAGGCTCCCGGGAATTCTAGAGGGAACACAAGAATTGCCATGTTGTCATTATTTGAGAGTCACAAAGGCTTTCATCAGCTATGGAGGTTACTCTCCCTGACACTACTGGCTCTACATCTGTCCTTCTGCTTTTAAATGTGGTGCACAATTCCTTTCCAATATCCATTTTCTGCACATATGAGATGTGGCTGTTCTGAACAGGATTCAAGAGATACTGATCACATGTTTTGTGTCTTTCTGTTGAAACTCATTTATGTTTCACAGACTCAAACATCAACTAACAGAAGGGACTCTTTAGGGAACCCTGATCCTTATTGTTGGTGGGAGCTTTTCAGTCATCAGGGAAATCAGGACCAGTATTAGAATCTAAGAATCTGCATGAAAAAGTAAATTCTCATCACTTTTTAAAAAAAATTTTATCTCAAGAGAAGAACAACACAGGAAGAAAATGTGGCTAATGTAAACAATACTGGCCTGGATACCAGAGGCTGTGGGTTTCAACCAGGTTATACCAGTGATAATCCTTAAATATCTTCTTGGGTCCACTTTGGATTATGAAGCCCCCATGCCACACTCATATAAACACAATTCTAAGTATAGTAGGAGACTTTAGACTTTCAAGAATTTTAAGGGACAAATAAACAATTTCAGGAAATAGCTCTGAATTCTATGCCTATGTCTAGCTTATAAACTGAAATTGACTAGTGCGTGTCTTATCACTTTGGGAAGCCAGGGGATATCTGCTCAGGGGATTCACTAGTCTTTTTTATGAAGGAAGAAGAACAGGACTATGAGAAAACCAGCACCCAGGATGTCAGAGGGACACAACGTGGAAATGTTTTGAAGAAACTGGAAATGACAGACGAATAGGTAGTTTAAAAAAATTTTTTTTAATCATTACCGGGGATCAAACTCACGACCATGCATTTGCAAGGCAGGTGTTTATGCTGCTGAGCTAAATCCCCAGCCCTAAGAATAGGTATTGTCAGAGATAACTGTTGGTTTTGTCAGAGGTATCTGATGAATGATGGTTTTAACATGTAATTTGGCTGACTTGTGGAAAGTTTTTTAATAGAATAAAATTTATAGGATAATTTCCTTTTCCCCATAAAAACAGATAAAGAAACAAGACATAGCTTTTTCACAAAAGTAGTAATATCATCAATTCATGCAAAAAAGTTTTAGCTGTTCATGAACCACTGTAACTTCAAGGTGCACAGAATAATACCACCTGTCAATTTGCCCCCTCAGTGCCCCACCTGTACTGCCCATACAGAAGACAAACATGTCCTCACCCCTTGGATCTGTGTGGTACTTTAAAGGGCAAAGGGACTTTGTAGATGTGATTATTATTATTATTATTTTTTATTGGTACCAGGGATCGAGCTCATGACCATGCACTTACAAAGTAGGCGCTTATGCCGCAGAGCTAAATCCCCAGCCCTTAGATGTGATTCTTTAAAGACAAAGTTTATCCTGGGTGATCTGGATAGGTGAGTACGATGGAAACAGGAGGGTTCTTTTTTCATAGTGCTGGGGATTGAGCCCAGCTTGGCAAAGTGAGGAGAAGATGACAGCTGAGAGACAGGAGGAGCTGTGACAGTGGAGGCAGGGGTCAGAGTGAGCCACAGACACTGGGCCTCCAGAAATTAGAAGGGACAAGGACTGCATTCCATCCTGGAGCTTTCATGAAGGACGCAGTACTGCCAAAGCCTTCATTTTAGCTTCCTAAGACCCACTTTTGGACTTTTGATGTCCACAACTCTAAGATAATAATGTTGTGTAGTTTCAAGACATTATGTTTGTGATTATTTGAGGTGACAGCAAGGGGAAACTGATACATGGTCCTGATCCTCTGTGTTCCATAGCTCCCTGCATTCCAAGTATCATCCGCTTCTCTCATAGGGCTGGTCACTCTCTTCTGTAACTGCTGTTTTAATTGTTTGTTTCCTTATGGGACATGAGCAGAGAATTGTCTTACTTATTTTTGTGCTTAAATTCTAGGTAGAGCCAAGGGCGGAGCAGGAACACAACCTCTGATTGAAGAAATCATGCCCATACTAAGTGTCATTTTGAAATAGAGGATAAGATGGGACAGAAGACATCAGGCCTGCCATTTCCGGCATGGTCAGACCTGGGTGTCATGCTTGGACATAGATGGCTTTGATGGAACATGGGAAACTGTTTTTTGTTTCCTAACTCCTTGGCTCCAGCCATCTCCTTCCCGCCTTTCTTTCCCTGCACCGTGCTCTGCAAAGGTCTGGTATGAATAGTGGGCATGGGTGACTGAAACTGAGTAACATGGAGGCCTTCCCTGGTGACTAGTCCAAGCAAGAGCTTTGCCAAGTCCTGCCCAACTCACAGAGCCTGCACATTGATCGGTCACACCATTATAGTCCCCATGTGCACTGAGTCTCCTTCAGTGTCCTGTGCTGCATCTCTTGGGACTCTTGACTTTCTGAAGACTCTGCTTTGCTACTGCTGTCTCGGCCTTGCCTCGGGGCAGCCTTCTCACTGACCTCAGTCTCTAGAAGCTTCTTCTCTTGAGCTTTTGGTCAGACCCCCGTGTTATCACCATGGGCTCTGAGACCACCTGAAGCTGGTGTTTGCAGGGATTCTATTTTCTTTGTTCTCTTTCTGGCCCTGGCTGAAGCTTCCCTTGAGAGGCTTGTAAGTTCTGCTGCCTGTATCGGCAATTCTCCAGTTTCTGAGCCTCAGGATGCTGTGAAAATCTTTCTCACTCCTACTCTAACTCCATTTCTTCTTTTTATTTCCTCACTCTCCATTCTGAGGTCCCACTTCTTTTGTTAAGCAAGGAAGCTCCAGTCTGCTTTCTTTTATGTGAGCATCAGCCACCCAAGAGGCCCTGCTGCGACTTCCTTCTCTCTGCAGCAGCTGTCTTTCCTCCTGCTGCTGCACTGCTGTGTAAAGTCACCCGGCGCATGTTCATGGTGAAGACAGCTGCCACCCGTTTCACAGAAGTCCCCAGGGGTTTAAAAATCCATACAATTGGACAGAGGATTTAACTTAGTGACATACACCCCAAAGCCTGCCTGGCAAGTGCAAAGTCATGAGTTCAATCCTCTGTCCAAACAACAACAACAACAACAACAAAAATCCATGCAATTAAAAAAGACTGAAGAAAAAACATGAGGTTGTAACTTCTACCACTCTTCTGGTCACCAGAGTTGAGTTAGCTGGTATGGGGGGATAACCCACTTCCTCTCTCACCAGCGTAGTGACAGTTTTCTCAGAAACACACGTGATGTTGAAAGAATGGTGTTCTCTGACAAAAGAAAGCATTTCAGTAAAGATAATTAAAATAGCATGGAAAGCACATGCCCCACAGAATTGAAAACAGGGACTTGACAGATGTTTATTCAGCTGCATGAGCCCAAGATGGGAACAAGTCAAATATGTGTCACAGAATGGATGGTACTGTTGAATGGATCAACACACTTGGTATATATGTACAGTGGAATATTATTTGGTCCTAAAAAGAATAGAATTCTGATACATGCTATACCACGGATCAAACTCGAATGCCTATGTGAATTGAAATAAGCCGTAACTAAAACGACAAATACTGTACAATTCCACTTGTCTAAGATACATAAAAGAGTTAAATGAAGCAGAATGGTAGTGACTAGAGCCTGGGAATGGGAGAGGTATTATTTAATGGGTAGCCAGTTTTAGTTTGGGAGGTGATAGAGTTCTACAGGTTGGTGGTGATGTGATTGTATAATGGTGCAAATGTACTTAATGCTGCTGAACCATACAGTTAAAAATGGTTAAAATGATAAAAGTTATGTTTTCCACAAGAAAAAAAATTAACAAAATGTAACATATAAGTCATGATTTTATGGGTTTTCTATATTTCACATGTTAATAATAATAATAAATAAATAAATTACATTATTTATATTTGACCAGAGGTACACACACAAAAAAAAATCAAAAGGTATATCAAAATTCTTGGAGGTGATGTGGTTCACATTTTGCATATCTTTCTCTTGCCAAGTAATGGTGAGAAAATCTTATTTAAATAACATTCAAGTATGCCCTTCTATTAAGTAATTTTTTCCTGTGACTTTTGGCTAATCTAGGGGGAAAAAACCCATGTTTAATTAGCCAAAGGCCTATTTGCAAAAGTTGCCAAGTAAACTCTGTGACCCTGGCAACTTCTCAGAGTCGGGTTGGGTAACCCGATTTTGTAATCTGTCCACACACATTGGATAACGCCTTTGGTCCTGGAGTCCCTTATTTCACACAGGAATTATGTGACCTCCAGCTCCCCAGGTCCTCTGAAAGAGAGCTCTGAGTGAGGCAAAGCAAGCACCAGCATTCCTCCGGGTTCAGGTAATCTTTGTGGCTGATAGTTGTGGTGAACTTTTGCAAAACAAATACCATCTGTTTACTCCGGGAATGAGAGTTCAGGTGGGATGAACACAGATTCCCTGAGCGTTTGGCAGGCTTCAAGGGTGATTTCTAGTGAGTCATCTGACCACGCTGCGCTGGCATGCAGCAGGGCAGGCAGGGTATGCAGGGCCCAATCACACCTGCTCAGCCGTCCCAGGTCAGCCTGGACTGCATTCCTGTCTGCAGTTTGGGGTGCAGCCACGATGGGAGCAGAAGCAGTTCCTGTAATGTAAGTTAAAGTAAAACAGTATCAAATCGTACAAGAACCCAAACAGATCCCACTGTGTACTCTGATAACGGATTCAGAAGTCTTCTAAAATACAAAATTGCAGTTCCCTTCCTGCCGCTTCCCTCTGGACCTTTGTTCCTTTCCTTCTTCCATCTACCTTTTCCTTCCTTCTTTTCTTGAGTCTCTTTTACAAGTCATGCACCTGGAACGCACATATACAGAGTCAAATTAAATCCTATGTGTCCTACTACACCATCATATCTTCAGGCAGAGGTGAGGGGTGATACAAGAATACACAATGGGAGATGCAAAGGCAGGTGCAGCGAGCTGGCAGATAAATGGTTGATCAAGTTGTTAACAAAGCTGTCTGAAGACAGAAAGCTTAGGGGCAATGTGGAGGTGACCTCCACCCTCCACCGCCAGCATATTCTTTCCTACCAAGAGCTTTCCCAAACTCCACATGCAAAAGCCCAGATTTCTGCTAGGAGAAAAAGGATCATGAGCCTCAAAGAGAAGACTGAGGCGTGGTCAATGCCTGCTCCTTCTTTTTGAGCAGACGAGTGGCATGGGTGGGGTGAGGTTGCTGTGCTGTGAGGGAGACATCCATCCTGGACAGGCAGCACACAGGAAGTACGCTGCCCAGGGCCGTGAGGATGAGGACCTGCTGGCTCCTTCTAGGTTGTCTACATGGCTCAGACTGATATGACAAGATCAGGGGACACATGCTGCCCTTGACCTTCCATGACTGGGAAAATTCTTCCACTAGCACTTGACAAGATGTTAATACATCAGTAATCAGTGATAATAATCACATCTAAGAGATCTGCTTAGTATTTTTATGCATCTCATATTTTAAATCCTGCACCACATTTGTTTCCTTCATTTTAAATGACTGTCATCATTGCTGCTGCCTCTGTCACTGTGATAAGTTTCTTGTCCAGACTAGCCTCTAATATGAGAGCCTCCTGCTTCAGCCACCCAAATAGCTGAAATTACAGAGGTGTGCCATGACTATGTAGATGCTATGAATATCTGCAACATATGGGTATGTCCTGTGAAAAGACAAGTGAGTCAATCAAAATTTTGAGGACATTATTTGAACATACAGAGATTCATGATGGGCAGCTCTGGAGGGTAGGCTGTGCGGTCTGATGAAGGGTGGAGGTGGGGAGTGCTGTGAAGGGAACAGAAGCAGGGCAGGGAAGAAGTGTGACTGGCTGAAGTGGAGCTGGCCAGCAGTCTCCGGTGGGTGAAGCAGTTTGCCTCCTAGGATGTGATGGTTCCTGTTGAGCTGGGATTTGGTTTGCTTATGCTGGAACCCTGAGCACTAGTATCTTGCTACACATAGGAAAGCTACTGGTGAAAATGATTTGCCCCAAGACAGGTTGACTGAGTGGCAGATGCTTCATTACCCATCTCCCTATTACCTTCTCCCGCTTTTTTCAACACCGTTGATTTACCAAGAAATGACTTGATCTCTGTGAACAGCAGGAAACAAAGTGAAATCTCCTTGGGAAAGGGCCCCTGAGAAGGGCTGCAGTAGGAGCCGATACAGCGGCTGCCTCCTGCCTGCCCAGGGGCCTTTCTTCCCATGATGGTGGCCCTAAGGACACTAGGCAGGTGATGTTTCCTTGAACGAGGCCAAGAGACAACAGTAAAAAAGAATAGCTTCAAATATGACTGGAGGTGGCATGGAGATATGCAATTTTTTTTTTTGTCTTTTTCCTTTTTATCGGTACCGGGGATCGAACTCACTACTGCCTGCTTGCAAGGCAGGCACTTATGCTGCTGAGCTAAATCCCCAGTTTTTTTGCCAATGGATTTTGAGCGGACAATTATAGAAGTTGAGCAATGTTATTTTCTGAATAAAAAGAAAAACCACTGTGCCAGTTCAAAGTGACGATGATGCAGGGCTACTTCAGCGGATGGTAACCAGCAACTGAGTGACAGTGGCTTCCGCTGGGGCAGAGTCCCCAGCGAACCCCCTGTGGTGGAGCTGGGCACCCTGGCCCATCCCTGCTCTGCCTCTTTGCCTGGAGAGCCTGGCACTTGACATGTCTATCTGCCTCCCTCTAGGGGTGCTTTTGGCCCCTGGGAGGTATCAGTGAGAGCCTGGTGGGATAAACAGAGAGAGATTGGGGTGTTTCATCCTGTTTGCTGCCTGCTTGGGGGGCATGTCCTCCAATGTTGCTGTTTCCTTCAATGCAATACGGACTCAAGTGGTGCTATTTTCCATCATGTCCCTTTAGCCCCAGGGGCTGCAGTGGCTTCAGTGTTGCTAGTCCACAAGGCACCGCCAACCCACATCAGTGCTAATGGGACTCTGGCCACAGTACCCTAAGCAGACCCCTCACGGACACCTTTTGTCACATGTGGTTAGTGGTGCTGGATCCTTGGAAGCCATTGGCAGTGCTTCTGATTCTGATGTCGATGGTGTGGGCTGGGGGTGGTAAGACACTGCATTTCTAACAGGGGCCCAGCTGCTCTGAGGCTCTGGGCCCGGGACCATGCTTTGAGCAGGAAGAATCTGTAGCACTTCCCTGTTCACTGCACCGTCACGGCTTTTGGGAAATAAGGGCTAAGAAATATTTTTAAAAACCTCATTACAAAACACAGTAAGTAAAAATGAAGGTCTCCACTTCTGAAAGTTAGGAGTGAACTGATGTCAAACCAAAACAACTCTTTACACTTTTCAGCTTGGACTCCAAAACCACATACTGTGTTTGCATGTGTACTATACACACAGGCAAGTGGAGGAAGACAGGTCCACTAATTGCTGAATGATTGTAGCTTGGTCCCAAAAATCTTCTGTTTGAACACAGGGACAGGCAGGGTGCAAAGAGATGTAGAACAAGCCACTGACATTTTTCTTAGATGAGGGGATTGGTGAACTAAGGCCTATAGGCTGAATCTACCGTGCATCTGTGTTTGTAAATAAAGCTTTACTGGAGATCAGCCATGATGTTTGCTTATGAATTATCTTTGGCTGCTTCTGCCCTATGATGGCAGATGTGGGAGGTGACAATGGGGACCATATGTCCTTGAAACCTAAGTTGTTTGCTATCTGCATCTTTGAAGAGAAGACTGCCAATGCCTTCCTTAGACTGTTATGTAGAGTTTCTCAAGAACTAAGATCTCTGAGTAGAAAGGAATCTTAAAACATTATCAGGTCTCATTTTACAGACAAAGAAAATGTGTCCCACATTGTCTTGGTGAACTTCAATCTATGTTTTTAAAAGAAATATGGAAAAAACTGGAGGGATTTTGGAGAAGAAAATAAAAAATTACTAGCTATTCCCTGAGAAAAGCTGACCTAGTTGGAAAGCTAAAGGTGTAACAGCAATTAACTTTAGGTTATCAGAAAAATAGGTGGACTTGGTTTTCTGTTTCTACATAGGAACAATTTTTCTGGGTTTCAATGCATCAGATGTTGGAAGTAGGTTTCCAAGGGAGATTAATACCTGGAGATCTTTAAAATAGCAGAGGAATAGCTGCTGCAAATGACTTAGGTTAAGACTGGTGACCTTTCCAGGGCAGTACCCAACCTGTCACTTATTACCAAACACGGAGGAAGGCAGAGACCTAAGGCGAAGGTAGGGCAGTTAGATCACACTCATGCATGTATGTTCACACACACACACACACACACACACACACACACACACACATCATGCCCATGTACACACTCACTATTTGATTCTCGGCATCACTGGCCTCATTAAAAAATCATCCTGAAGCTAGCTGGCCTCTGAACATTGGCCTGAGTATCTATCACTGTGATGAAGGACCCCTTGGAGCTTGGTGATCCTGAGAGCAGTGATGGAGCTATAATTTGGAGCAATGATTTGAAACACTTGTAGATTCAAGAGAAAAATGTGCAAAATTGTGATTTGTCACACTACATGTCATGGCCTAATATGGTCATTGCTAATGGAAGTCAGCTATAACATTTTTGCACTTTTTTTTTGGTGGAAGGTCTTATTTGGGGATACTCCTAGCTTTGGGGAGAGTCCATTCCCTCTAAACTCAATAAAGAAATGCTCAGTGCTCCTATTTTAATTGAGGGTGCTAAAAGGGTAGAACATAAATTAATTTCTGTATTTGTACCATAAGCATGGCCTTGCACACTGTAGATGAAGAACTGGGGTAGGAGGCATAGAAGGTGTGCACTGAATTGTAGTGTTCAGAGAAACAACCAGGGAGAGCAGGGTGGGCTAACTAAGACAGTCACGCTGGCCAAGAGGACTGCTTCCTGGTCGAAGGCACTGGTGCCC